CGGGAACGTCCGAAAAGGAAAGGCGCTGAGGAAAATCCAGAACGCGCTAAGAAGGCCAAGTCAGTGCCCGAGGCATCACCCAATCGGACTGTGATTGTGGTGCCACCTCAGCTAATGTCTCGTGCCTTTCTTGGTGATGATGTGTCGGCCGAGGCGTTGATTCGGCCTGACATTGTGTCTCCTTTCGGGCAGGAGTTCTTGGCTAGCCTGGATGCAAGAGCCAAGTGGAGACTTTACTGCGAGGTGCAAACTCGCTCGTTGGCCCTAGCCCATCACCTAGCCATGGAACCCATCGGTGAGGTGGTGCATTTGAAACAAAGTTTGGAGGAGGCCGAGAGGACTGCCGCCGAAGCTATCGCGGTGAATGAAGAAGTGACAGCCAAAAATCGGGAGCTGTCGGCCGAATTGGATTCTGTTCGGCGTGACAATGATACTCTTCGTCTGAACCTTCAAAAAGCAGCTAATGAGGAGCGGCGCCGACTGGAGGAGGCTCATGCCGAGTACAACCGCCTAAAGGAGCAGGCGAAAGAGAAGATTGTTGCTCAACATGAAGCCGGGTTTAAACACGCTGTTCGGCAAGCTAAACACTTCGGCCGCTTTGAAGAGGGTTTCGAGTTTGATATGACCCAAGATTTTTATCAAGGGTCATTGATTTCTTTTGCTGATATGCCTGAAGGGGCAAATCCCGATGGGGAAGAGCCAGAGGATGCCCCCCAGGCAGAAGGTGCCGAAACCTCTTCCGAGGAAAACACCATGGATGAGGGAAACCCGGAACCTGAGAATGAGGCCGAAGGAAATCCTGAATCTGTCATTCAAGCCGATGCAGCCCGATCTCCGGAAGAATAGTTTAGTGTTTGATAGGTCTTATGTAATTTTTAACTTTTGTTTGAACAAGTGTAGACCGGGGGCCGATAGAGCCTCCTTTTTTAGAATGTAATGATATTGTCTCGTTTGAACTTGTGTCTTTAATACGTCTTCTTCATTCGAAGTACTTGTCAAATTTGCACGTAAGACTCAAGTAATAAGTAGCCGAATCGGTATTATTGTTTGTAAAAATCAAAAGAAACACTTGTATTCTGGAGCAAGACCGAGTGGAGTCCCTCGGAATTGCCTTGTCTTGCTAGCAAAACCGAGTAGAGTCACTCGGAATTGCCTTGCTTTTTGAGCAAGACCGAGTGGAGGTCACTCGAACTTGCCTTGATTTGGTGGCAAGACCGAGTGGAGGTCAATCGGTCTTACCTTGATTTGCTGGCAAAACTGAGTAGAGGTCACTCGAAATTGCTTGTCTTGCTAGCAAAACCGAGTGGAGTCACTCGTAATTGCCTTGCTTTTTGAGCAAGGCCGAGTGGAGCTCACTCGGACTTACCTTGATTTGCTGGCAAAACCGAGTAGAGGTCACTCGAAATTGCCTTGTTTCTTGAGCAAGACAGAGTGGAATCACTCGGAATTGCGTGATTTTCCGAGGCACATCCTTGGCCGAGTTGATCAACTCGGGAGGGAAGCCTTTTACGTGATTTTCCGAGGCACATCCTTGGCCGAGTTGATTAACTCGGGAGGGAAGCCTTTAACGCGATTTTGAGGCACATTCTTGGCCGAGTTGATCAACTCGGGAGGGAAGCCTTTTGCGTGATTTTCCGAGGCACATCCTTGGCCGAGTTGATAGTCTTATCATAGGGAGCTGGATTTGGATACTGCAACAGTAAAAATCAAGTACTCTGTAGGAGATGTAGAATTTACCAGAGAACATTTTGCTTCTAACCCAGACCAAGTCATAGTGACAAGGTTTTCAGCGAGCAAACCTGGGTCATTATCATTTACAGTGTATTTTGATAGCAAAATGCATCACAGTTCAAGGGTAAGTGGCCAAAATCAGATAATGATTGAAGGAAGCTGTCCTGGCAGGAGGGTCCGGCCAAAAGTGAATTCAGTTGACGATCCGAATCCAAAGGGAATTCAGTTTTCTGCAGTTCTTGATATGCAGATTAGTAAAAATAAAGGGGTTATACATGTTTTGGATGATAAGAAGCTAAGAGTTGAAGGCTCAGATTGGGCTATTTTGCTTTTGACAGCTTCTTCTTCCTTCGATGGCCCATTTACTAAGCCTGAAGACTCCAAGAAGGATCCTACCTCTGAGTCCCTCAGTAAAATGAATTCTGTGAAAAAAAATTCATATGCTGATCTTTATGCACGTCACTTGGATGACTATCAAAATCTTTTTCATCGTGTGTCATTGCAACTCTCTAAAAGCTCCAAAACTGCTCTAGGAAAATCTGTTTTGCACGGAAGGAAATTGGTTTCCTCCCAAACCAACATCTCTCAAATGGGAGGTGATGTCTCCATTCCAACTTCAGCAAGAGTCAAATCTTTTCAAACTGATGAAGATCCTTCCTTTGTGGAGCTTTTGTTTCAATATGGTCGATATCTTCTAATCTCTTGTTCGCGTCCTGGGACCCAGGTGGCAAACCTACAGGGTATCTGGAACAAAGATGTTGAGCCTGCATGGGAGTATGTCTTCCCTTCTCTTTTTATCCCTCTTCGATCAATTAAAAAAAAATAAAATTGTATGCTGTAGTTTCTAGGTTATAAGGTGGCTGGCTTAGAGTTTTCAGGTGGATATGGAATATTAAATATAAATACACATATATATATATATATATATATATATTTTACTAATCTGCATATCAAGAACTGCAGAAAACTGAATTCCCTTTGGATTCGGATCGTCAACTGAATTCACTTTTGGCCGGACCCTCCTGCCAGGACAGCTTCCTTCAATCATTATCTGATTTTGGCCACTTACCCTTGAACTGTGATGCATTTTGCTATCAAAATACACTGTAAATGATAATGACCCAGGTTTGCTCGCTGAAAACCTTGTCACTATGACTTGGTCTGGGTTAGAAGCAAAATGTTCTCTGGTAAATTCTACATCTCCTACAGAGTACTTGATTTTTACTGTTGCAGTATCCAAATCCAGCTCCCTATGATAAGACTCGTTTGAATATGCAAGATGAGAATCATCAAATTCTAACTTGATATCACCAAGAAGTTGGTATACCTTCATATCAAGAAATAACAGTTAGGGGCGAGTGCCAACATTGTACAAAGTTTCTTTAACCACCAACTCCATAATCCAAATGAATACCAAATAAGCACACATTTAGAAAAGGAGGTGGGTGGGGGAGGGGGGGGTGTAAAAGCACTAGTTGAATAAAATCATGTGATTTGTATTTTACAAAAATAGCACCTACTCAGATTCCTCTGTTTATATATCATATTGCAGGGTTGTCGACCCCTAACAGCAATCTAATAAATAGCATAGTTCATAAAAACTTAGTGCAAGGATGGTTATACTTATTGTGATATATATATTACGTACATCTGAAGGGTCTCCGGACAACTTGACAGCTTCCGCCGTAGCTTCAGAGTATTTTCTATCATCAACAAGCTTTCTAACTTGAGCCACTGCCTGTGAAGCATTTTTGTTGGCGTAGTTTCCAGGAGTTCCAGTCCAAAGCGTGTCCTCTACAAACAATTTTAAATCATCACATTAGCATGTTTCACGAAAGAGAAAAGACACAGCTGATTGGTTTCCCTGTGCATAACATAGCGCAGCATGACCAAGTCCTTGACATCTCAATCTCAACTATATAAATATACATCGCCCACTAGATGCAAAATAAAATCAGAGCAAATATTTCTCCCTAGTCCCCATTGAATCTGAGAACCTTAGGAATACCACACTGCAAAAACTAGCCGTTATAAACCTCCATCCTTCTGATTGGGACTCGAGTCCCGTACTGTGCAATTGTATCCTAACAAAGATCTTGAAGGACAGTATCCATGTGTGCTGTATCACTCACATTATAATGTCACAAACTCAAATAATTGTAAGAGTGCAGCCTTAAACAAGCTAAGCTAGTGACAAAGAATATAAAACAAAATGCTTAAACGTGAATAAAGGAGTATATTTCTCTATATTAATAGCATTAAAGTTTGTGTAAATGAGTACCATATAAATATAATATAACATCACTTTCATTGGCATTTTATAACCAGTTGATGTATTTTTAGTTATAATTTGTTTTATGTAATGTACACAGATTTCAAAATTGATATTGATACTAATCCAAATATGACCTTGTTCAGCTACAATGAATAGTAAATCCAGGAACTCAGGGAGCAACATGTTGTATAAGTATTATGTGGTTCAAATAGACTTTCAAACCACAACCAAAAAATGTAATTGTAGATTTCAAGTTTCATATGGATGCAACTTATTTACTCCCATTGTTACCAATGAACCTTTGAGGTTATAAATATAGACTAGTTATTAGATACAGTGAAAAAACTATTATTTTATCATGGCAAGTGTATATCTATATTTTTATTTGTAAATACTATATTCATAAATTAGATTTGTTCTATGTAATATCTCATGTGTTTGTGTATCAGTTACTTGGTAAGTGATGGTTGAATTTTCTTTTATATTAGGATTTTCTTAAAAATAAAGCATATCCTTTGTTGGAAGGATGTACATCATTTTTGTTGGATTGGTTGATTGAAGGCCGAGGTGGATTATTGGAAACTAACCCATCAACTTCACCTGAGCACATGTTCATTGCACCAGATCGAAAGCCTGCTAGTGTGAGCTACTCATCAACCATGGATATTTCAATCATAAAAGAAGTTTTCTCTATAATCATTTCTGCAGCTGAGGTGAAAATGATCTTAATACTCAAACCAATACTAATTTCATAATATCCTAATTTTGTCTTGGGCACTAAATTTCTCAATAACAGGTTTTAGGAAGACAAAATGACGGTATTATCAAGAGAGTCACTGAGTCTCTGTCTAAGCTTCCTCCGACAAAAGTTGCTGGAGATGGTTCCATTATGGAATGGGTATGCAATTTTATATAATATGTATTCCTTTCTCCATCTCTCTAATGTCCATTTGGTTCATCTGATATCTTGTTCTGATTTACAACAACCAAGTTCTACTGTAGGCTAGCAGTTCCATGTTAACTATAACACCTTACTTATTTGGCAGGCAGAAGATTTTGAGGACCCAGATGTACATCATCGACATGTTTCGCATCTGTTTGGGCTGTTTCCAGGGCACACAATTAGTCTAGAGAAAACTCCAGATCTCTGTAAAGCTGTGGAATTAAGTCTAATTAAAAGAGGTCTTTTATGAGAACTTTAAGAGCTAAACTCTTTTCGTAGATAATAGTTGTTTTTTCTTGCAATATGTATGGCACTGCATCTCTTATTTATTATGTTGAAATTTCATATGCTTAGATGAACTGGAACCACGTGTAATTATTAATATCTTATTGGAAGACACTTGTATAAAATAATGTCTAATGATACCATGTGTTTGTTGCTTTTGATAGCTTGAGTGATTTTACGTGTTGAGACTTGAGAGCACTTTCGAAATAGACTGACTATGTGCTGTCTTTAAGCCTGTAGTTAGTTTAGTAGACAATTATAATGGTACTCCAATAATTGTGGATGCCTTTATTGTATAGGGATTACTTTTTGTTCAACTTTGTATATATAACGACATGACTTAAATCTGTATTATTTTTTTAATCTTCAATGCTAAAAGTAAATAAAACAATTCAACAGTAGTTAACATTCTTGCACTGTATTATAGGAGATGATGGTCCAGGGTGGTCAACAACTTGGAAAGCTTCACTGTGGGCACATCTTCACAATAGCGAGCACGCATATCGTATGATAAAACACTTGATTGTCTTGGTGGATCCTACTCATGAGCGTGATTTTGAAGGAGGACTTTACAGCAACCTGTTCACAGCACATCCCCCTTTCCAGATTGATGCAAACTTTGGGTAAGGATCATCTTTATGTTAGAACTGTAACATCTGTGTATCATGTCAATTTCACTTTCGTCATTTTGAAAGCTCAAACTTAAGTATATTTTAATCAATAATATGACACAACCATATATATACATATACCATGACCTTTGTTGAGGGACATGGATACTTTATTTTGAAGTGGTAGATTTTTGCAATTCTTGGTAATGTTGCTTCTTTGAAATAACATTTTATCAAGCATGTGGTGGACAATTTAATAAAAGGTTGGACAGGAAGTCGTGAGAAAATTTTCATCATGAAAAACAACGCTTGACGAACTGCATGCAATCGCTTTTGAGAGT